CAAGTTCTTCTAAGATCCGAAGATTATTTAACAATCATTGAGAAACGCCGATCTAAAAACGCTGGATACACAAATATTTCATAAATTATTCAATTAAACTTACTTAATTCATTTTAAGTATCATTACTTAATGAGTTTTTTTTTTAATTTTATAATAATATGGTTTTAATTCAAGTTAATTTGTGTTATGTTATGTTATTTAAGGATAGGTTATGTTAGTTTTATTAATTACTTTAGTTAAGTCATAATAGTTTAAATTAAATTTAAGTTATTTTAATATAGATTTCGAAATATTTAGTAATCAAATGGCGTTTGTTATAAACAGGCGTACCAACTAGTATACACTATACCATATAATCGGCAAAGCTTTAGAAATTAATTAGTTAAAGCGACTGTAAGAAACGTAATTAAGAATTTTATATTTTTAAATTAAATCTTCAGTAATGTTCGAAAACAACCTCCACATCTGAATGTGTACAGACAAACAAGACATTAGTTCAAATTAAAGCGACGTTTATTTCCTAACTTACTATTAATTAGTTTTAAGCGTTTTTGCTCGTTTTCCGTTGCGCGTTTATCTTTTTCGTATTTTTTGTTTCTTGTTTCTATTGTATCTTACGTTTTGTTTGTGTGTTTTAATACGATCGAATTGAGGAGGCGGGAGCGGCTTGTCTCGTCTCCCGTCTTCGTATAATCCTGGTCCGTGAGCCTTTTCTTCGCGCACTAATGAAGCCAATTAATAAGGAGTAATTAATGAATAATTTATTACGAGAGAGTCGCAGCTGCTGCAGCACAGCGACCACCGCCACCAGTGACGGCGACAGAAAATGTAAATTAAAGAGAAAAAATGCGAAAAAGTTTACGGTGTCGTTTACATAACGGTATTGTTTTTTTGAGGTTAGTTTAGGTTAGGTTCTATGTAATTTGATAAGTTAATTTAGTTTTTTTTTTATGATAATATTGTTAATCATTTTAAGTTAGTTTATAATAGTTAAATAAATTTTCAGTAGTCTATATTAGTAAACCTTTATATCATTTAGTTTTCAATTGTTAGAAATTACGTTACATTAGGTTTTTAAATTAGTTATCAAGGTCGTATTTTTCAACTGTTTTTTTTTGCGAAAGCTTTATCAAATTCAATGACGTTTGACAGCTCGTCCTAAAAAAGACTAATGGTGTCTCACTAAGAGGTACCGTCAATCTAAGATTCGAGGACTACGTTATCACAATGGCTTTGCATACAATTTCAGATAAATAAGTGAAGGATGTAGGAGATATATCCGCCGCTCCTCCGTAATGGGAAGTATGTAAAGAATCAGTTGCGTTGTGCAAATTCTCGAGTTGCGATTATTGTTACTAAATGTTTGAATTGCGATTATATAGGTAGAGCAAAATGTACCCTTAAGATGATTCCTGTGGTGAACCCTAATTTTAATATAATGAATGTAGCGGCAGCTGAGAATCGGAATGCTGAAATTACACTCTCGAGAAGTTTTTGCATCCACTCCTTTCACATTTGACGTTTTCCTCGCTAAGCCGCCCCTCATCCATCCCATGTCACTTGATCGAATTAAACCTTTCCACCTGCAAAATAGCCTGACGTCCGGTGGCGTTATGGCCGCTCCCGCCCCTTTGTTAACCCTCGTTTTTGCAGGTCCGTGAGGCAGCGGACCTTTCATTTCCTCACTCTACTTCTTATACATGTGTTTGCATGTATATATATATAACACGCAAAAGTATACATTGCTATTTTGTGTCTACTAAGAAAAAATATGTCAAAATGAAGAGAAACATTGAGAGAAAAAAGACCCATCGCAGTGATAAATATGCACACTTCCATTAGGAAGAGACGCGTGGCTCGCCTAATCTCGGGATATCTTATGCATTGCATAATCAAGTGAGACCTGCTCCGGTGTTTTTATTTCCGCACGTTTTCCTTCCTATTTTTTTTTTGTTCTCGTCCTTCAGGGATTTCTCCCGCAAGGATACGTTTCACTCTACGTGTGTCCCTGTCATATATGTGTGCAACCCGAAAATGCCGCGTGCAAACAATTTGCAAACAAAGTGGAAACACTTTTATGCAAGGCCGCACACAACAACACACACACAGAGAGAAATCCGCGCCAGACCCCTCTGTCTGCTGGGAAATCTGGAAACCCAAAAAATTCGCCTACATCAAAAATAGAAAAAAAAACCCTAGACTTGGGTCAATTGTTGTTCCTGACGGATCAAAGGGTAGGCACGAGAGTGTGCATGCATGCACGCGTGGCAGCATGTCTCATTTCCGGTTTCCGCCCATCCCCCCTTTTCGTTTGTTTATTCAATGTTTATTTCCGCGCCGTTACATGCGGTAGGCGGGATGTGTGTGTACGTGTATGTGTGGATCGTTTTCAGGGGATGCGGGGGCGGGAACCGGATGTCGGACAAGCCGCGGCGCCGTGTAATATTCTAATTGTAATTAATGGTCTACGTATGCGCGTCGCAAATTTATCGCCCACCCCCACCAAATTCCGAATTTAATCAACAGAAACCCAGGATCCTCAGCCGCCCCCCAAAACGTGCTTCTCCGCGCCCCACCCCATCGCGGCACCGCACCTTCAAGATTAATCGCCATTCGATAATCTTCCGTAATCATCGAAATAATGCCTCCGATGTCTATAATCCATGCTGCAGATGCAAACTCGTACTGCAACTGCTATTAGTCTGATGAATCGCTGGTTGGTTAAACGGATCTTCTCCAAAGTGCATTATTCGAGAAGATCTTCCTTTAGCGCTGACGATACTCGAATACCCAACCTATTGTATTGGTCCGCAAAAAGCCACCGACATAATAGCTTTGCATCCGTATAATTATTTGCATATATTGACACAAAAGGCAAAACGCCATCTAGCGGTTAGAAAACGTTGTGGAATATTAATAACAAATCAAGCAACAAACAAATAATTGAACTCAAGTAATCAAAGGCGATATACTAAATTATACATTTTCTTTCAAATATCTATGTTCAATCAAAAGAATATAAAATTAACTATTCGAAATGATGTTCGTTAAAATATATTGTGTTACCAATTACGTTGGAAATGATTATGGATTGTAGAAGTCGTTATTTCGTGGGAGGCATCTAACGAATTAAGTCCGAATTAGGGTCGGACACCTTTTTGGGGGAAGGGATTGAAGAGCCACCGTTAGAATTTAATAACGGTACGTGGTAAATTCCGATGGAAGTGTCTGCCTGATAACCTCCGGTTAACTCTTAACCCGATAATGTGAAGACCGCAATTGAATACGGTCCACGAAAAAGGGTTAAACCTTAAATAGGTGACGGGTAACATTTTAATTAAATGTTTAGTTTTAGTAGTATTTTAAAGATGATTAATTCTATTTTGTGTTTTCACATAATATGGTTCTCATGTGTACCAACTTAGATGATAAATTTAGTTATATGTGATTAATATGACGAACGCAAGAAGTTGTACGAATATATTTATGAAGTTACTTTAAATAAATAGCAATGGCGCGACTCTTTATCGCTGGAATTAGTAAATTGAACTCAGATTTGTTTGTTATTTGGGACACGCCATCTACCGGATAATTGTAAATTTCGATAAAGTATTTTGTTTGGTGCTTTGGTACCGGCGTTTGCAGTTATTTCGAATTGCAAACAATAAAGATGAAGGGGAAAAAGCGAATTTCAGGAATGTATGTGTGTGTGTGTGTACGTGTGATAGAAAAATGGTTAAGTGATGTTGGTTGTCTAAATTGCGTTAGAGAAATGTTCCCAATTTGTGCCGAACTTTTCGCGTATTCCGGTGTTCCTTATTCGGGCGGCATACGTGGCCCGCATTGATTTGGGCAATAAATTCCGCTCAATCCATAAGCCTTCAGTTTATACAATATATTATACATTAGCGAGGCCAATCCAATTTTCCGACACACGAAGAAAAAAGTTCTCCTTTCTCTTTCCCTCTTTGCTTGATTCTCTTTCTAACACTTTCGCCTAGCTCTTTCTTCCTCAATCTCAAACCTTCCTTTCCAACTCCACCCACCCCTTGTAGCGCACTTATACTTTCCTCATCCACTCACTCAACCGGCTACAAGCTCACCGGAGAGTTACCCAAACAAGGAGCGGAACGGCACACGCAATCATTATGAGGCGTTTTCAAGGAAATAGGATGGGAGGGCGTTATTGCACGAAGCCAAATTTCAAATTACGCACATACACGGGCGATCCTTTGATCGGCACACCAGCAAAATAAACAAATTAATTTGGGACTTGCTCCTCGCAAACATATACACAAATAGCGACATCAACAACAACAACATCGTACGACAAAAAAAGTACTATGTACAAAGACTTGTAATTGCCGCCGTCGCTGCCTCCTTCTTTCCGCACACGCAACACAATTACTAGCAGCGCGCGTTCTGTTGCATAATTTATCACATCAGAGTGTACAAATTGAAAATTGCCGGCAGCCGGAATTTGAATTCTAATAAGAATTTCGTCACGCACCGCAGCGCAAATCGGGATCCGGTATCCCGGAGGCCGTCTGTGGGATTGGATTTGCTGAGCGGCGAAGGTGAAGGTGGTGATGAGCGATGACGAACAGAAAAATTATACAACTTTTCGCATACAATTCTCCCTATTTTATTCGTTTCAAAATTCTAGATTTTCATATACTTCAAGATAATTCAATTATATAATATAACGGTGTATACAGATTTCGAATTAAAATGTATTATTATTTTTCACGATAATAAATCTTCAATTTCTGGAGAACGATAAATTCAATAAATACAGAATAATATTTGTTTATTGATTAAGATGTTACCTTGATTAATATTCAATAAAATTTTCGAATTAAATACAATATTCAATAGTAGCTTACTTGATGATGGATTGAGGTTAACGTGTTGTTTAGGTATATATACCGGATCATATATCTAAGTCGTATTAGTCTACACATAAATCTGATTAGTCCAACACGAAAAAAAAAATGTTTAAATTTACTATTGCTATATTGTTGGCATGTTATTGTGCATCAGTGTACAGCAGTTTTCGTAAGTCATATTAATTCATAACTTATTTATTCATAGTATGATTAGGAAAATGTAAGTTTTCTGAAAATTATAATAGTTTAAAATAGAAAAGTATTTTTAAACAACGACATTTAAAGTATTATTAAATATACAATATTATTGTAAGAGTTCAGTAAAAATGAAGAATTAATTATTAAAATTTCTAATTGAATGCAATAATTAAATATTATAATGTGCGTATTTTATATGATAATAGTAATTTGTAGACGATATAAGATATACACTTGTTTAGTACATTTAATATGTATTAATAAGAATAATAGACAGAAAGATATACGTACAATTATTTATAACCTATACCATTTTTTTATTTAGCGTCCGATATCGAAAGATGCAAATTGGCAGATCCCAATTTGAACAAGTGTATGAGGGAACAAGCGGAGAAAGTATTCCGGAAGTATTCAAAAAGTAATTTCAACTTAGTAATTTCCATGAACAAATCATATAATTATATATAATACTTATTTTATAGGCGGCTTGAAGGAAATTGGTTTGATCTCGGTGGATCCTTTGGAAATTACCGAAGTTTCAGCAACTGGCGAAAATGGTGTAAATGTGGATCAAACCTACAAGAACATGAAAATTTATGGATTTACATCTAGTTCTGTGAATAAGTTCGAGTAAGTGGTCGATGCTACAACCTTTCTAAAATAACCATCCATAATTGAATAACAATATGTTAAGCAATGATCAGCATTGTAATGATTGTTACAACAGAAAATGTTTAAGCTATATTAGTTTTGTACCATAACAAATATTTATATAGGATGTAGATTTCGTTCCTGTGCAGAGTGAAATATTGTTTCAGTATAGATATTATTTATATTAGAAAGATAGAAATGTGTATTAAAGTAAAAAAAAAATGTTTTCAGCGTCGATTTTGATAAGTGTGAAATGGAGATGATCACAACAACTGAAGACATTATTGTACTCGCTGATTACAAACTGAAAGGACAATTGTTCTTGTTTCCCATCGACAGTGAAGGCAAATCCAATTTCACATTACGTAAGTTTATATGAAATGCAGATCAAACGCTACTAAATTTTCTTGAATTATTTTTTTAGACAAACCCGTATTGCAGCACACCATAAAGTGCGAAAAAAACATGATCAGGGGCAACGAACATTTACATATTACGGACTTCAAGACGGATTTTGTTGAGTACAATATAGAACTCTATTTCGATAATCTGGTAGCTGGAAACGATGAAATCAGCAAAGGAATTGCCAACGTTCTGAAGGAAAACCCCAATGAAATATTTATTGAGGTGAAATCATCTCACGCGAAAGCATACGCTCTTCTGTTTAAGCGAGTCTTAAATAATGTATTTAAAAAATTGCCATTGAAAGAACTATTTGTTTAAAAAGATATTATAATGATAAATTCTTGTATTTATTTAAAAACTCCTTTTCGTTATTTTACGAATGATATATAATTAAGATGTTTGTTATTATGATTTCACATATGAATAAAGAGCGGAAAGACTACGGTCAATAGCCTTTTTTAAATAGATATACAACACATTTTGTTTATTATTGCTAATAAATATTTTTAAGAAATTCACTTGTAATTATTATTATATTAATTATAACAAGTTATTGGGTAAAATATATAATATAACATAAAAACTAAATTAAAATATATATAAAGACCTTGGTCTATTATTAAAGTATTTGTTTTTGTTGACTTATCTACAATAAACCTTAAAATAAAAAAAATATCTAAAATATATTAAGATTATTAATTGTTGTTATTAATTAATAATAACAATATAAGTGTTCAATCACTTATTCATAATAAACCTTAAAAATAAGAAATTAATTTAGAATTAAAATTATTGTTATTAATATTAAATAATAACAATTAATAAACTAATTTTATTATACAATATTTCTTATTGTTACGTTTTATAATGAATAAGTCAACGAAAATTAATACAGAGGGACTAATAGCCGAATGGTTCAAATCCTGGTCAAACCAGGCCCTTTGTGAGCCATCACGGATGTACAGTAAAATGAATGAAATTCAGCATATGGACCTCCAGCCAAGTCGATGGACAATGACAGTGTTAAGGATAGCAGCAGATTCACAGTCAAAGGAAATAGTGGAATCGCAGAGCATCAATATACTACTGAAATTAACCTACAAGACAACAGCCAACCTACAAATTAAAAAAAAAATAAAAATCATTATAATGGTAACTATCAACCGGGAAAAATTACCTACCTAATGTCAACCGCGATCTTAAATTTACTGAATGGGCACATTGATGAACAGATTGTAAATAAAATTACACGACATACAAAAAAAAGTAATTGTACAATTAAAGAATCATTTAATTGATACATTTTAATGTTCATTTTCAAACTTGCTAGGAAAGAATCCAATATTATCAAAAGTTTTTAAAAAGTTATTAATGAATAGACTGAAAATTATCATAAACAACAACGACTCTAAAGAAGATTTTACCATATAACCTTTATAAAATAATATATATTTGTCTGGAAGATTATTTCAAGTGAAAGCATTGACGAATTTGTATCCAATTATATCAGGTTTACAAGATACAAGGTAGCGTGTTAGGAACGATTTCCTATACACTATATATCGCAGATATGCCCTTAACGTATAAAACAACAGCTGCAAATACTTGCGACCATACAAAGATTCTAGTCAAGAACTCTATTAGTACTCATTAGTACTTAGTTATATTTCGAACAGGACCTTCATGAGGACCTTCAATTGGAAACACTGGAGAATTCAATTATGAGAAACAGTTGCCGATACCAAAGTAGGCTAGACAGACATCCAAATGTATTCGTCTGTCATTCTTCTTTATAATAGCTTAACAACATTGGATCTGTCATTGAGATTAAAGGACGATGTACAAATAAATTTTGTCAACCGCTAGATCATTTACTAAAAGTTTTATAAACTAGATTTGTAAATAAAAAGGACACAAATTCAAACTTCTTAATAACATTTATCCTTAAGCGGTTTGATGCATTGTATGAAGTGGTTCCCCTAGTGGCCACGTATTTTTGTCGCTATGGTAAATTATTATTCATATTGCGAATATATTCGTCATAAGCGGTACTTAAGGGGTTACAATAAAGAATTATTCAAATTCAATTTTCACACATAATATAATAATTTAAATGAATACACAATCTTTAATAAATAAATATATACAATTTTTTAAATTTAATTAATTTTGCAAATTGATCAATACATTATTTTATTTCCAATTGAATATTGAACTATATGAAATTTATTGAATTAAAGTTTGAATAAATAAAAAAAAACACATAGTCGATGGAGATGATGAATGCAAATGGATCGCCTTTGATGTAAGCGCCTCTGGTGACTGGATATATTAACTTAAATATTCATTCAATAAGTTTTAACTTAGGCAAAAAGAAATAGTCTATATTGAATTTATTCGGTTTGTGTAATATTTTCATGGAAACTCACATATAAAAAGTTCTTAAGACCTTCATTTCGCGATTGCTTATTAAAATATTAATTTCCATTACATACATTGAAATTATAACACTTGCTAGTCGTTAAATGCAAATAGATCAGTTATTATATCAGTGATTAGTTACATCTATGAACAAATATGATGCACGTAAATCGTCTTCGGTATGATTGGACTTATTACTTAAAATTATTAAAAACGCATGTATTCTTTCGTTATTTACATTCTGTTCATTGAAATTCAAATACGTCGACGCATTAACATTTAGAAACATGTTCCTCTGTCGACTTTTTCTTTTACCTTTACCATTTTATATTTTTTTTCACTCTTTACGGTGAAAATGTTCTTCGTGCATAAAGTGCGCTGTGTATTTCGCGTGCCGCACGATATTTCTGCCTGTTTTCTTTTTGCGCCGCTTCTTTCACTTCGGTCTACCCTTTTTTCCGTTCTTCCATGCTCTCCTCTCTCTATCTCTCTCTTTCTTACTCGTTCCTAGCAACGAATGTATACGTGTATCGAATTGTTTATGGAAATTGTTGGCCGCCGAAACATGGATGTAAATTTGGTTGCGCGCTCCGGCAAAATGCCGTCATCAAATTTTTATGAACCCGCGTAAGTGAGGAAGCGATTCCCTCCATCTTAAAAGGGAATACATGTTATGTGAAACCAACCCTTCTCTCTCTCTCTCTATTTTTCAAACACATCCCTTGCGCATCTCTCTTCAGAATCTCACCAACCGCCGTGGGCGTTCGGCCACCGCCGACGTCGACGATGTTTCCATTTCTTGCACTCGCTATATCCATATCCATCCGCATCTTCATCCTCCTCTTTCCTTCTCGAAGCACATCCCAACATGCACTTTAGGATCTCGAAGCTCCACGAGAGAATCGTAAATATATTCCATTTCACATGATTGATACTGTCTGCTCCCATCAGACGTAAAACCCACTTAAATGTTTTCTTACCTGCGTCATCTCACTCTCCCATCCCTTTACCGTGAGCTTCGATTTTTGTTCTTGTCTCACTTTATTCCATTCTTTCTTTCGTCGAATAAACGGAAAACACTCTCGGTCCCCCTCAAATCGATATCGAAACAATTCCCGAACAACAATAACAACAAGCCCTCTGGGGGTCGCTCGCGCGGTTTGCGCTTCAAACAGCAACAAAAAAAGAAAGCGAAGAAAGAATTGCGAGAAAGGGAGAGCAAAAAAAACTAGAACGATAATACACTTAGATCGGAACGCCATCTATTATTCAAAACGTCGAACGAAAACTGACAGACATGTTTGGAAATTCAATGATTCGTATTTTTTTCCTTGTTCGTATTTCTTTTTATAAGTACCTGTATATGTAATATTAAAATATTTTAATGCAGAGAAATACTAATTTGGATTCGATCGATAGTTCTTTGGAGATGCTCAGTTATATGGATAGAAGAGACTTACGATGAAGGAAACACAGATATTCACAATGGCGATGGTTGCACCGGAATATATATTTGCAATATACAATACACAATACAGAGAATATACAAAGAACATTACCGGATAATTAGAAGCGATACAAGAGAGCTATTATAGATATGCTACGATGATGATGATGCTGCTGAGGTGGTTCTTCCTGACTATGATGTGGTGGTGCTAGTGGCTATTGTTGCCTAAATAAAACCCCGGCTGTGGTCGATCTTACACGTCGGCCTCCAAGTCGGTGATGACGTTGTATCTTGTAATTGCCTCGTATATTCCGTTGCGTCATTGGATTCGGGATGTCTACTGGCGGATAGAAATTCTCCTGGTCATCTCAACGGTTCTCCGTAAACCTTCTCTGCTTCTGACGATTCTAGATCATCTCGCCAAGCTGTTCATATGCCCAGGAGGACTGTTGGTAGTATATCCGTCCATCTTGCGTTGTCGTGACATTGATCGCTGCCTTCAGTTCTAGATGGAAACGTTCTACCCTTCCGTTAGCCTGGGGATGGTATGCTGTTGTTCTGAGATGAGTGGTGCCGGTTAACCTGCACAAATGCTGACGATGTCGAAGTTGACGTGTTCAAACCTCTTCCATGGGGTTGTGAAAGTACCTCGTTGAGTAATAACATTTCGGGAGACCTTGCATTTTTGGCACTGCACGCATGCCTGAGCCCACTTTCGCACGTCGGACTTGCACCTGGGCCACACGTAGCGCTTCACCGATGCTTTCACGCCTGGACAGTTGGAGCAGCGGCAGCGAGTCTTCTTCGTGTCGCATATCTTCTCATTTTTTTTTTGGCGCAATATATTTTTTTTTTAAATAAAAATACAGTATTTACAAAACTCAATATACAAAAGAAAATCAGCTTATTTATATAATAAATGGATCCGTTTAAATCATATTTGCATAATGAAATGTAATTAATTTCTTATATAAATTTGGGATGAAGAAGCGAAGCGAAAATTTAAAAAAAAATTCACATGTCTTCTATATTCCACTGTTGGCATTCCTGTCGTTCCGCCCATCTCGCATTACGGGTACACGCCATCCCATTTCTGGCATGGTCAAATGCCTAATCTGTTGGGCATGAAGGAACCTTGGTATTGTGGTTTTGAATTTATTTCCTCAGTATCCTTCTTTTTCTTCTTCGTATGTGCCAACATCGAGTCACCTTCAAGTTTTTGATGTCTTTGGTACCGTTCCAGGTCTTCGTTGTCGGCGTAGCTCGATATAGGTTTATTCCTCTCGTAAGCATCTGTTGCAGCTTCTCGTTATATTCGTCTCTTTGCTTGCAACCTTTACCCCATCTCGCATACTTTTCCTTCACGAGAGCCTCCTTCTCTTCTTTTTCATAGATATTCACAATGACGTTGGTTGCACCGAAATATATCTTTGCACAGACACAAGACACA